ACAGCTCTACCTTACATTTCTTCAATTACAGGTGGTTTTATTGCTAAAAAATACCTAGAAAAACAAACATTCTGACTGTGATCGAGGTTGCCTTTCCACAGATCTGACCTGTAACATGGTCTAGTTTGGTCTCCATGAAGATAAAAAGTTTTAATGTCATACTGAAACATTCCAGGCAAAGCAATAACATCTCCATGGAGCCAAGCATTTGACGGACCCTCCACCTGAAAAGTTCCACAATGCACCTTTAATATGGGCATAGCACTTCCATTGGATCAAACCAGATCGAAGTATTTCCTATATCTTTTACTGCCAGTGCTTTGGTAATTGGTGCAGAAGGAAAAGTGTTTTGTAACGACAAGGAAACACACAGACAGTCATTCTACTGTGTCAATGACCAACTGCTATTTGTATTCAGTTATTCACATGTTTTAACTGCATCTACATAGTAATAGCTCAGTAAATAAATGTGTTGTTTTCATACATAAGAAGCTGAAGAATGATTGACTGGCAGGTGTCTGGACATGTCTGGATATCGTGACGGCAAGTGAGGATGGACGTAATATACACACATAGATTAAAAGTCCTATATTACACTATTTTCTGATCTATGTTATAATGTTGTTTCCTCATCACAAACATGCCTGCAGGTGTGTTTTGTTTTATTCACACAAACTCTGCATATTTAGGCTGAGTTCTTCTCTCAAACATAAAACTCACTGTTCCGCCTTGTGATGTCATGCGGTAATACAGGAACTCCTTACACCTTCAGCAGACTCATTTTGATGATTTCAGCACTGGAATTGCCAATCTCCATTGAACTAAAGCTAAAATGAAAGAGTTACCTTGAAAATCACAACGTGGAATAGAGCACTTTGAGTTTTGGAGATGTAGACAGACTAATAATAAGGATTAAAACAAAGCACAACTCCAGGTATGTTTTTGAGGAGGTAAGAACATTTTAACATGACTTAAAGCTCAAGGGGAGTCAGTTTTGTGTAATATATACCTTTAAAGATCCATAAAAACAGAAATGAATCGAAAGAGCTTTTTGAATTCTAATATGAATACCGGCTCGAACATCCCCCTGGCTTGAAAGTCCTGGCTCGAGTGTCCCATCCTCCCTCTGGACACCCCCTTCTCTTGAGCAGCACATGGTAACTGCTGTGCCCAGGAGAGGGGGTACAGTCTTGCCGGCCTTTAGCTGGCCGTGTCACGCAGTGTGATGTATTGAGTTCGAAAATCAGCATTCTATATCATAATAAAATGAAATGTGAATGTAGAGAGACACCAAATGTTGAACCTTGTTTATGTCATTTTACCAGTCTTCCCGACCGATCTTCCTGAGTACTCGGGGACTACTCTGAGGAGTGAATACACATGAGAAATTGACAGATTATACATAAAGTGTGTGCCTCACTTGTGGACTATTCCTGAGGAGTAATTTGACACAAGGTATTTACTCTCTTTGTGTGTGTTTGAGACCACTAATTTTTGCATGTTTTGTTTGTTTGTATGAATAAATGTGTTGAAATATATTGTAACCTGTGTGTGTAATTAATACAATATATATATATAATGATTTTTTTTTTATATGTATACAGATTAATTAACTTAGTTTCATAAAGGGTACATTTCAGGGGGACTTTCCAGTTGATTTCCTGTAATACTAATACATATTTTTGTCTTTAACTGCTGATACCAGTATGAAGGGACTAAAAATGGCATTTATGTTCCTTAAAATGCAGTTAACTTATTACAAAATGCATCAGTTATGTTATGTAACTGTTATTTTGCTGCAAGTAACTACAGAACAGCTTTGTATGAATAAAAGATCAAACATAAGGTCTTATAACATCCAATTAAAGGCTTAACTGAGATAACAACAGAACATACAGTATATAACCAAGACTTCAAATTTTCTTCTGATATCCAATACCACAAGGGTGGTATAACATAAAGTATTTTTGTAGCACACTTTAATAACTAAAATCACATCTTTCTTTAACTTCTTGTTAAGTTTGGGTTCAAAGGAGAAGACAATCAAACAGCACCACTAAGATCCAGGATCAAATACGGGCTAAAATTCAAAGGAGACATTTTAATAATGGCGCAACCTTGTGAGATTATGGTGTCAAGGGAAATGAGTAGAACGTGCTATTAAAAGCCTTTTTAAATATAGTGAAACGAGGACAGACACAATGAGAGTTAACCTAAAGGGCAAAGGTGATGTCAAATATTACGTTAAAGGTCCTATATTACGCAAAATTGACTCTTGTTGAGCTTTAAGACATGTGAGAATGCTGTTACCTCATCAGAAACATAACTGGAGTTCTATTTTGTTTCATTTGCACGTTTGAGTGATCTTTTATTATTAGTCTGTCTATATCTCCAAAGCTCAAAATGCTCTGCTCCACCTTGTGATGTCATGAAGCAGTAGTTTTCATGTTAATAGCTACCTTTTACCTTTTGGTCAGTACAGATTGTCAATTTCTGGGCTGAAATTACCCTAATGATACTAGTGAAGGTGTATAGAGTTTAAACACACATTGGAGCACTTCCTGTATTACCATATGACTCCAGGCCAGGGTGTTTTCAGTTAAAGAGAAGAGCTCAGCCTAAAAATGCAGTGTTTGTGAGTTAAACATGGGTGAATGAAACAAAAGACAACTCCAGGCATGTTTTTCATGAGGAAACAACATTATAATAGCTCAGAAAATGGCATAATATGGGCGATTTAAGATGTTTCGTTTATACATTTCATGTTCTACCACACATTGCGATACCTCTGCTATCACTGGTCCCGTAGAGCCTCAATCCTCAAGGCGCCTCCAGCCAATGCCCACTCTGTCCCACTTTCTAAAATAAGATCTGCAGGAATTAGGGTCAAATTAAAAACCATGATTGAAATGACATTTACGCTGTGATACAACTTTGCTGAGTCAGGCCGATAAGAGTTATAAAAGTATTACACATAGAAAGAGCCTTGACCATTCATGCAGTTACAGTAAGAGAGTGATTAAAACAGAAAAATATTAAGAGTCAAAAATGTCACGGGCTTTTAGTGATTATTAAAGCTTCACTGTTAACATTTCTAGTGGAGGATCAGCTACCTGCTTGTCTCCATGGAGATGTTATTTCCTATTGTTTGGATGTTATGATTGCTTTCATGTATAAAAAAAAAATAAAATGAGTGAATGCATTGCTTTGACAGAAATCTTTCCATCAGTCTTGCATGTATATATTCAGTACTGTGAGTTGGGTCGCCACTCCACAGATCTGACCTGTAGTTTCGCCTGCATGGTGGCATCATCTGCTTGTCTCCATGGATAAGTTTAATGCCACATTGTGTAACACATGGGCACAAGCAGGTGGGGGGTGGGGGGGACCCTCCATCAGAAAGGTTACACAATAACTTTAAGCAGCAGCGATGTCGGGAAATAAACTTAAAAGAAAACTACCAAGAATGTGCAGTTCTAAGTGTAAATGCTAGGAAACTTTTACTCTATATCTTTGGTGAAAATAAGTAACATTTCTGACCTTGGTGTGAAAGTGAGAAACAATAGCAGTTCTATGTGCAGTAATAGTACCACTGAAGTACAACTCTGGTATTAACAATTGCAGTTCTAGAAGTAGTAATGGTAGTTTTATATAGTAGTAATAAACACAAGGGGTGTGCAAAAATATCAAAATATTGATATGTCGTATAATTTAATGTGATGTGATGTTTCATATTCACTTTGTACAAGAAGTGGTTTAACAAAGACTTTTAGTATCACAGAGAAGATTTTTTACTGAACCGTATCGAACCGATTTGAAATATATCGTATCGAACCCAAAGTTCACTGGATCGAGGTATGTATCATATCGTGGCCTACGTATCGAGGTATGTATCATATCGTGGCCTACGTAGTGAGGTATGTATTGTATCATGGCTTATGTATCAAGGTATGTAATGTATCGGCAACTTCTTAATGATACTCAGCCCTAAAAACAACCAACTTCACTGAATTATTACTTCTTGAGAAGGTGTATGGCACTTAAAAACACAGTGGAGCACTTCCTGTATTACCAGATGACATCACAAGGTGGAACAGAGTGTTGTTTGTTTGAGACAATAACTCCGAAGCCTAAATACGCAGGCTTTGTGAGTTAAACATGTCTGAATAAACTCCAAATTGCAACTCCAACTCCAAAACTCCAGGTTTTTGACGAGGAAACATTGTAACATAGATCCAAAAATAGCGTAACATGGGCTCTTTAAACTATTTTTGACATTTGAAAAGCTGGTGGCAAAAGCAGAAGCGTTTCCAATAGTAGTAGCAATGATAGCAGTAGTAGAAAGATAACGATAGATCTGTAATGAATACAGCAACTGCAAAAGAAGCTGTAACAAATCTTTAGTATAGTCTGAAGTAGTTAAGGAGGAGAAACCCTGTAGCCTTGTAGAGCAAAGGTCCAGTGTCTTTTCATAGGAGACATTTGGTTCTAATTTTTGCTCTGGGTTTGTGTGTCACTTTTGGCCTGCATTAGTCTCCCCTATGAACTCCATTGCAAAACAGCTATCCTCACTCCTTTAATGGACCTTTTAATCGTTTAATCAAGGAAAAAATTGGGTTAATCTGAAAGAACCATGGCTAATGTAATGTATTACGAGGTTAAATATCCTGGCAAGGAATAAGACGAAAATAATTTCACTTTTGACAGGAGTTTAGAGAAGTAGGGACTTGCTTAACCTACAATGCATTCTTAAAAACTAATCTAAAATGCCCTTGACAACTTGTTATGAATAGGCCTAAGATATTTCGTAGTTGTAAAGCAGAACAGATCGCTTTCAGTGCCTTTTTTTCATTGCATTCTTGAAAGCTAGCTAGAAACGCCTTGGCAACATTTGGCAACGTGGTTCACGCATCTCAAAGTTGTATTTAAGTGAGCAAAATTTAAGAAAAGAAAAAAAAAAACCGTGATGCAAATGTTAGATTGGTTGAACTGGTACTCACCATCTCAACCTGCCGGGGGTCCAAGTTGGTGGGCGCAGAAGCCGGCACTGCAAACTGGATCTTTTTCCTCTCTTTCGGCTCCCCCTCTGTCGATACGGAGGGCTCCATGGTTCTGGTGCGCGCGGATGATGGTGACAGGCTATCCCGGAGATGTGCGGCTCAACTCCCGGTAAAGAAGGAGGAGGAGGAGACGATGATAAAACAGTCGTGGAAAAAAAAAAAGTCCTCTCTGTCAAGTCTAGATTTCAAAATAGACGCACGCGAGAGGAGAGGAGTGACGCTGCCGATCGCAACCTGCAGAATGGTGCGTTTCTGTAGGTCCCGCGGTGAGGCAGATGAGTGGGAGGGGCTATGGGCAAGGGGGCGTGGCTACACTCGTAATAGGAGGAGCTAGCGGGGTGTTTTACGCACGGGAGGGGAGGGGCTTGGCTGAATTTCGCTACATAAGCTGAGGCTGATTTGTAATTGAAAAAAAAAAAAAAAAAAAAAATTATAATCTTATCACGTCAGCTGAGCCTCTCCCGGCCCTATTTGTGAATGAGAGATTTACGTAGAGAGATTAAGAGCCTGAGAAAATAACACAGAGAGAAATTCACACTAAGCAAACACGTAAATGCATTTGTACATAGTCATCGTGACATAATAATGTCATATTTAATATTAACCATATACAGCTAATATAAAAATGCCAAATTCAAATGCACAATATAATGATAAATAATACCTTACGTAGAATAGATTTCTGCCAAGGCATGCTGGTCTTATCTCGCAATATAGGGTCAGGACCTTGACTCAAGCTGCCAGATGTTTTAGTTTAGGAGAAATAATTTTTCCAATATATAAAAATCGCTAACAAATAATTTACTAAAACTACAGTTATTTCAATTTAAATTATCTATATATTTATTTATTTTATATTGATTCTTATTTTTTTCTTTTCTTTTTCAGTTGATTTATATTTATTTTTGTTAAAGTATATTTTCATCAAAATGTAGGTTCATACATATATTTTTTTTCTTGTTTTTTACTACTTACTACTATTTTTTCCCATTTTCCCTACCCCATTTCACCCAGGATTTATTTATTTATTTAATTATTTTTTCATATATATTCTTATTTTGATATTAATTTTATGTAAAAGAAAATCTATGCACATATACACTGTGGCGTATGTGAAAAAAGCACTGAATAAATTGCAAAAAAAATAAAATAAATAAAAAAGTAATTTGAGATTTTAGTGAGTGTTATAAGTAGTTTGGCTACTCTACTAAACTCTCTAAATGGTGCACAACGGTGACCGCTTGACCCTACTTCCAGAAGTAAATTTCCCACTCATTTTTCACATAGACTTTCCGAAACAAATTAATACTAAATGTTTGAAAGCTTTCACGGGGTTAATCAGCTATGTGGTAACTACTGACCACAAGACTTGTAATTTGGTTTAAAGTCTGTTTCTGAAACTTTATAAACTGCTAAATTGGTTAGATGGTTAGGCTCTGCAATGTTTTTGAGCTCTTAAAGGTGCATTGTGTAACTTTTTCGCCTGCTTGTTTCTATGGATATGCCAGCTCTCTGGCTAAAATGTTCCACAGTATGACATTAAACAGCTCTACCTTGCATTCATTCAATTACAGGTGGTTCTATAGCTCAAAAATACCTAGACAAACAGGCATTCTGACTGTGAGCGGGTCATCTCTCCTCAGATCTGACGTGTAACTTGGTCTGGTTTGGTCTCTATGAAGATAGAAAGGTTTAATGCCATACTGTGAAACTTTCCAGACAAAGCAATAACATCTCCATGGAGAAATGCATCTGATGAACCCTTCACCACAAAAGTTACACAACGCACCTTCAATATTGGAATTTTTGTAAAAGTTTATGGGAAAAATGAATGGAAAATTGACTTAGCGAGCTTCAAAGTGGGCAGGACAGTTGAGCTCCATAGGCTCAGGACCTTGACTGAAACTGACAGATGTTTTAAATCAGGAGTAAACACTGATATAAAAACTGCTACCAAAGAATTTACAAGAACTGCAGTAACTTGATGTTTTATTGAGTAACATATTATAAATAGTTCAAGGTACAATGAGTAACTTTCTGGAGGTCATTTGCAAGATTCCATGGAAATAGAAATACTGTGGAATAAGAAGAACAAACTAAAAGGGAACAACATTTCCATGGAATCAAGCAGAACTAGGCCCTCCCCCAGACCAAACAAGAGTCAGGTTTGTGGAGATGCGAGCTTGCTCACATTAAGGGTGCAGCATTTTAAGTGGAATCCATGGGTTTCAGAATGATTCATGAATATAAATGATGAATTACTGCTTTATTGTTATTATTATTATGTTAAATTGTTGCAGCTGAAAAATCTATCTAATGTATAACCTAATATTAGGACCGTTGCCATAGTGATTAACAATTTATGCCACACGATATTATTATGTCTTTTGAATGGGCAGAAGTTCTCAAAATGTTGCTGAGCCCACGAATAGGCACAACAAAATGAACAAAACAGCCTTTTATTTTAATCCATTTTTTGGCTAAAAAGTTGCATACTGTGGCTTTAACTGTCAATCTTCATGTTCTTTAATGCTAATATTTGCTGGCTGCTCTTTGTTGTGTATTAAAAGCTGTCTTTCATGAGGATTTTTCCACAGAGACCAGCAAAGTTGCAAAATAGATGATCTAGTCCTTTCCAGCATTTCCTAGAACATTACACATTTAATACCAAAATAACAAAATTAGCAATAGAGTATTTTCACTTTTATAGCTTTAAGCCACGTTTTTAATGTTTTTACCTCCTCAGTAACACACCTGGAGGTCTGTTTTGTTTCATTCACACATCTTTGAGCAAACCTGGATTACAGTTTTAGGCTGGTTTCTTCCTCAAAGATCAAAATACTCTGTCCAGTCTTGTGATGTTGTGAAGCTGCAGTTTTGAAGTTAACAGCTGCTTTTTACCTTTTATTCAGGAGAGATTGGGAATTCCAGGGTTGAAATTATCCCCATGATTCAAGTGTAGGTGTATGGAGTTTAAATGAGGCCAAAAACAACAAAAACAGAAAATGAACCCGTTGTCTTGACGTCTGCGTGTTATCACAGCTTCACACCTGTTAACATATCTGCGTGGAAAGAGATAGAGAAAGTCTGCTGTCTGTGTCTCCCTCGTATGGCTTGGCTGTACTGAATACGGTCTAACAGAGGGTGTGTGATGTTTGATATGATGACACAATATGTCTCTAATATGTTGTAATATTTGACATTTGGGATCACGTGGCTTATATTGCTCACTATTTTCTAATCTCTCTTCTGTTATAATGTAGTTCCCTCATTAAAAACAAACCTGGAGTTGTATTTGTTTCATTCACACACGTCTTCATACACCTTCACTAGAATAATTTGGATAATTTCAGCCCTGTAATTGCTCATCTCTATTGAACAAAAGGTAAAAACTGCAAAAACTAAAATCTGACCAAGTTAAGATCACTTGAATTGACAAAGTTTGACTGGGATTTGAATAAATTTTACTCAACAAGTAAAATGATCTGCCAACAGAACAAGATTTTTGTACTTAAAATATGACAACACATCCTGCTGCACTAAGGATAAGAAAAACAACAACTTTTTGCACTTAAAATAAGAAATAAAATTGAATGTTGCTTGAATTAAGAAAAATGTGCTTATACCACGGGTAGATCATTTTACTTGTCAAGTTATATCGACTCAAATAAAGAAAAATTTTCTTAATTTAAGCCATTTTAAAGGGACAATCTGAAATTTTGGACATAGGACCACATTTCCTAGTGAGCCAGAGTGTTGGAGACGTGTGGAGACACTTTTTAAAATATTCCATACAGTATTGTATTTGCAGAGGTCGCGGTGCTAGGCTAATGCATGTCAATGGCCATAGTTATCCTGCCACTAAAAACAGTCTTACCCACTCCACAAAACACCCAAAGAATGTCTGTGTCCATAGAATAATTTTAGAAGTAAAACCAAACTTACATTTGAAGGATTTATGTCTGAGCAGCAGCAGTGAGTTGTACTTCCTGATAGAAAGTTTGGCAGCCATGGAAAATAGTCCCTCAACATGCGACGATTCATGCGATGCAAGGTTAATTTTATTTCAAACATTATTCTGTCAACACAGACATTCACATCGATAGTCTGCCGTAATAATAGATTTGCTTCGGGTGTTTTGTGGAGTGGGTAAGACTGTTTTTATTGGCAGGCTAACTATGGCCATTGACATGCACTAGCCTAGCACCAGTGACCTCTGCAAATACAAGGACTGGATGGAAAATTTTAAAAAAGTGTCTCCACACGTCTCCAACACTCTGGCTCACGAGGAAATGAGGTCCTATGTCCAAAATTCCAGGACTGTCCCTTTCAGCACTCTGGATATAGATGTTTGCAGTGAATGGTAGCTGTTAACTTGATAACTACCACTACATGACATCACAAGGTGGAACAGAGCATTTCAAGCATTGAAGATGTAGACAGACTAATAATAAAGAGTTGCTCAAACATGTGTGAATGAAACAAAACACAACAACTCCAGGTATGTTTTTGATGAAATAACAACATTATAACATGGCTTAAAGCTCACAAGAGACAGATTTGCATGATACTGGACTTTTAATAGAATTGCAAAATGTGCCCATATTTGAGAATGTTTTATAATGATTATTTTTTTATATTATCCAAATCCAATCCAGTTTATTTATTTATGGATTTAAAACAACACAAATGTATCAAAGTGCTCAATAAAACAATAGAGGATTTAAAATTATAAACTCAATTGCCGTCCATTACATTAAAAAGGGCAGAGTGAGAAATGGACTACAGGACAGCAAGGCGTTTTGGGGTTTGTAGTTTTTATGGGGATTTTGGGCCGTGAAAGAGACTGGATTTTGGCTTAGCGAAGACTTTAGTAACTACAGCGGCTAAAATGAAAGAAAAATAGCTTTGGAATGGGAGTAAGGAGGAGGGGTGGGAGAAAGAAAGTGAGGGAGGAAAGAAAGGAGAGAGAGAGAGAATAAGTGAGTGAGTGAGAAGAATAGGGGCAGAAAGAGAGAAATAAAGTGAAGGAGGGAGAAGAATGAGAGGGGGAAAGGGACATAGAGAAAAAGAAAGAAAGACAGAAAGAAAGAGGGAAAGAGACAGGGAGAAAGAAAAGGATGGAGTGAATGAAAGCAAAGGAGGGAGGAAGGATGGGGTAGAGAGAGAAATAGAGTGAAGAAGGGGAAGAGAGAAAGAAAGACAGATAAAAAGATAAGAAAGAAGGATGGAGAAAGGGAGGGGGGAAAGAGA